TCTCAGATTGGGTGGCCTTTGGCTCCAAGCGACTCACTTTGACACACTGTACTATATGGCGGCTGAAGCAATGTGTCGGAAATGGCCATGAATGGTTCGTGTAGGCATGGAGGAATGTTGGTGAATGTGTGTATACTCATTAAATGCAATGCGCATTGGGACTTTGCTGGCCTTCGATGTTGGCTATATAAGGGCCTATTACAGCAGACAGGAACAAAGGCAGCCGCTCACATGCTATTGTCTCTATTTACCTGCAAGCATGGACAAGCATGACAGAACACGCAAGACAAGAAAAAGTGGTTGTTAGTTATAGTGTCTGGTTTCAGTGTCAACCATCAGTCAATGGCCCTTGCCTCGTTTGGGTGAGATTCAGACCATCCGTTCCCATTAGTGTCCATGTTTCCACAGGAGAACTTTACAAATGACCCATTACTGCTTCTCATTCAAACACATGAGGGGTTAGTCCTGTGCAGGCATATATAGAGCTTCAGAGCCACCATGTGGTCACAAGTGACACTGCAGTGAAGAACTTACTTTTCTCAAGGTACATGTAAGATGTGACAAAGCCTATTTATAAATTGGAAAATGTTATTAACATATATTGCGCTACTGATATTTTGTGCAGTAATTTTGTACAAGTTAAGACACACTTAAATAAATGCAAATAATTTTAGAAAAGATGAAAAATTACAGAATATAAAATATTTTACATATAATATCTTTTTTTTTTTCATTTTATATATAATATCATTTTAAAAAATCTTCACATCTTTCAGCTATTATTACTCCTGTCTTCAGTGTCACATGATGATCTGGTGCTCAAGAAACATTTCCTATTTATTATTATTATTATAGTTGAAAACTGCTAAAAAATATTGCATACTTTTAAAAGGTTAAAAAAACTGAATGTATTTTAAATAGACATTGGTAACATTATAAATGTCTTTACTGTCATTTTTGATACATTTTATGGGTTGCACTTTATTTTACAGTATATGCACTTGCCTGTACTTAGTGTACTTACCTAAAAAGTACAGGAAAATATAAGGTTAGGGTTAGGATACATGGATTTGGATTAGGTTTAGGGGTAGGTTCAGGGTTAGTACCTAGTTATTACCCAGTTATTGTAATTACTATTACAAGTCCATAGTATGTACATGTAGAACAGGACTGCAAAATAAAACGTTACCATGTGCAAATTTGCTGAATAAAAGCGTTTATTTCTTTAAAAATTATACTGAACCCAAACTTTTGAACGGTAGTGTATGATATAAACATATATTTTATTTTAAAATATTATGTAATGTTATACAATATATAAATATTGGAAATGACACTTTAAATAGAGTATACTTATATTGAATATAATTATATATAGCATAATACTTATAATAGTAACTTTTTACCATTTTTCAGCTTTTTTACCTTTTCATTAGTAGAGATTTTTATAAGTCTGGTCACCTGTGCAAAATATTAAAACATGCTTTATTCTTTAGGGCACTTTTGCAACGGCTAAATTGTAATTTCTTTGTAGTCAGGTCGAGTTCCAGACTATTGAGGTACAAATAGCTGCTTTGTGCAGCCAGTCAGTGTAAAAAGTCACTCTGAAACTTTCCCCAACATAGACATCGCATGGCAGATAAAGGAACAACGAATCAATGAAAAATGTTGGCAATGCAATTTTGTGTGCCAACAGTTGACCCCTTTCTTTTGTTCCCCTTAAAAATATGCAATTTCACAACAAACAGTTTTTACCCAGTTAGCAAGAATCTCCCTTGAAATTAAGGAAAAGGCTAAAACCGGCAATGATATCCACTTTGGTGGTATATGAAATGTGAAAACTTTGGTGACCTTCACAACACACTGCTGCTGTAATTAGCAGCGAGCTGATTAAAAACACCTCCATTAGAAAAGTAACCTCTTTTCCCCATCAAAATGAAAAGTAACATCATCAGTCAGACCGACTCGAGATGCTGGTGGCATTTCTGTGCCAGCAAAAAGGTCACCTTGCATTAGCAACAACTAAACAAAGAGAAGTCGTAATTAAAGAAAGTGTGATAATTAGCTGGAGCAACACTGACATTGGGGAAGGACTTTGCATGATATGAATGATTCAGCAAAAGAGCCGGAGTCTGACCTTTTGGCATGCTAAAATATCTATGTACTGCTGGTCACTCCGTCACCATGTGGCTTCCCACATGAATTATGCAAATCAGAATTAGTTAGCTTGTGGGTGTCAATAAGCGTGGGGAAGTGGACATTATTTTAGTTACCCTCCCTCTTTTTTTACAAAGACGGGTAGGTCTGTATCCATGTGTGTGTACAGAGGCACGCAGAGGTGTGATGAGTTTATTACCTGACCGTTTAAGATCATACATAATAATACAGTCATTACTGAATTGTCCCTTTGCTTAAAACTCCTTAATGCGGAGGCATGAACTCTGATGAAAAGAGTGACTTTGCTGCTGTCCATTATAATATTACTGTAGGGCAGGAGCACTATCACATAAATATGATACGGATGCAAACGACCTGCATTTAATCTCCTGAACAGGACAGCACTGACAATAACGGTAATTGTGTGTTTATATTAGAGGTCAAGCCATGTTAAATGTCCTTTATGGGCTGAAAAAAATAAACTGATGTTGAAAGGTTTGCCAACATCCTCTGTGGTTTACACTCGCTGGGTGGACAGAATCTGAGGATTTGTTTTTTTTTTCTTCACTAATTTTGAATAGAAATTTGTGGAATGGATTTAAACATGGTGATATGTGTTAAAAAGAGCTGAGAGTACCGCACTCTTACTGGTAGCTGAAAGCATCGTTGAATTAGACAAAATATTTCAAGGAATATTCCAGGTTTAATAAAGGTTAAGCTTAATCTCCAACATTAGTGACATAATTACCACAAAAAAAATCATTTTAACAAAAACAACAACAAAAAATCGAGATTGAATGGGGCCCATTTTTAGACGATTTGCAAGCAGAAATGTGAAGGTTATAGTTTTATAAAAGCACAATTTTTATATGTCAAAACTTGTATTGCTTGTATTATTCGGGGTGTAAATTTGTTAATGTCATTTTTGTGGCTATTTTAGGATGTAATTTGACTCTTTATCTATTATCATGGAAATTTGCCTTTTTGTTGTCATTCCGTCATGGCAACAAAGTTGTAAAATTGCATATAACTTAAACAGAAAATGTTAGTGATTTTTTTTCACACTAAATAGTGTTAACATTTATACTGATTACATATTTTTACTATACTATTTTAATATTTACAGATTGTCCCTATTCACTTTCATTGTAAGTGCCTCACTGTAACCTTGATTTTTGCTACTAAATTCACAATACAGCTTATTCACGAAACACAGAAACACAATACATCCATTACAGAGAAAAAGAATGGGAAAATAACACTAATGTCAACAATTATTCAATAAACCGATTGGCAATAGGACAAAAGACCTCTTAAAAAAAAATTTTCATTTCTCTATAGCGCCTTTCTGAAGGCAATTTTTCAAATCCATTAAACAGACAATGTGAAGAATCCTTTACTATCATTGTTGCTTTCCTTGTGGCATTTTGCCATGGCAAGAAAGCTGAAAAATTGCACATAACATACAGAAAAGATTAGTAGGTGTTTTTTTCACACTAAAATCATGTTAACGTGTGACTATGCTATTTTAACTTTTACAGATTGGCCCTATTCACTTCCATTGTAAGTGCTCAGTGTAACTCAGACTTTTGCACTTTTTTTGTTTTGTTTTTTAATTGTTAACAATATACAAACAGGAATAAGAACATGAAAACACATATCAATTCAACATCCCCACCTACCCTGCCTCCCTCTCTACCTCACCCAACCTAATCCCGCGGTCTCTTTATAATGGGGTACATAATGGATAGAAAAGTTAACAGAAAACCAAAGCCACAGGAATCATAAAACATGAATTTCAGCAATCAAGAGAGAGAAAAATAAATAAATAAATAAATAAAAAGACTTTTGCACTTTTAAAGAAAATGAGGGACGACCGGAAATAAATTTTTGGGATAATCAACATGTTGCCACAAATGTTGTTTATTGGACATCGGACCCATTTTCCACAAGTTAGTATGATTCTTTAGTGTTAACAATATACAAACAGGAATAAGAACATGAAAACACATATCAATTCAACATCCCCACCTGGCCGCCCTCCCTCTCTACCTCACCCAACCTAATCCCGCGGTCTCTTTATAATGGGGTACATAATGGATAGAAAAGTTAACAGAAAACCAAAGCCACAGGAATCATAAAACATGAATTTCAGCAATCAAGAGAGAAAAATAAATAAATAAATAAATAAAAAGACTTTTGCACTTTTAAAGAAAATGAGGGACGACTGGAAATAAATTTTTGGGATAATCAACATGTTGCCACAAATGTTGTTTATTGGACATCGGACCCATTTTCCACAAGTTAGTATGATTCTTTAGGGTGTAAAACAACACCCTTTTTACCTTGTCATAAACAGCTCTGTTCACAGCGACTTGTTTCGGTGCATGTCTCTTTAAATGATAATGAGCTACTGCTCACCCCGCCCCTCTCTTCCATGAGGCGATGTGAATATATCCTTATATGGCTCAGAGGTGGTCTTATTCAAATAGCTAGCTATCTACACAGAAACCAGCAGCAAATTGAAACAGCTGGATGACAGTTTCAGACTCAGACAGCCCATAACGAACTGGCTGCATGTTTTCTTTTCAGCTTTTCTGATCTGGCAAACACACCAGAAACCTAACTAAATGCAAAAAAATGAAAATTTCATGCCCCCTTTAACTTCTACCTGGAATATTTGTTTTTTTAACTAACACACAAGAGGCAGGAGATGAACTTATGAATGGCAGACTTCAGAGCCTCAGTGATCTGCTTTGGACTTGCAATGTGAGAGTAAACCAGACAATCTGCTTTGTGTTCATATACTCTCCTGTAATTAAGCCAACAGGGCTTTGACATACCTGTGTGTCCCCGCAGACTCCGTGTACCCGCAGAAACCGACTGGCACGAGCACATTACCAAGGTGACCAGGAGTACAACCTGCAACGGCCACACTGACTGCCCCCACAGCTTCATCTAGAGAAAGACCAGGACAAAGAGAGAGAAAGCAGGCAAGGGAGAGCATTGAAAAGTGTAAACATAAGTCACAATCTGCCTCAAGGTTGTGAGGAGACGTCAGCTGTGTTACCTTTCTGTCCTGTGCTCTCCGTTCACTCTCTTCCCTGTGAGCCGGCCATGTCTCCTACTTTGTCCTCTTCTGTCTTCCCACACGTCCTCAATCACTGTTCAGATCCTGAGATGGCAGAAGGAAGGAGGAGAGGGATGAGGTCAAATGAGGTAAAAAGCAGTACATGTGTCTTTCTTCAACTATGGGCACTTTTGGTCTTCTGGAGATTCAGATTTGAAACTCCCTTAAAATGCACTTTTCAAATTCACTAGTTCATTTAATTTGTCTACTAGCAGTGGATATACATGCATGACAATAGAACTGTCATTTTGAGGGGGGGGGTTTCCCCCATAATGAACAATTGTTATTTCCTTCACATCTCAAATTGACATGCATTTTGAGATGGAAATAACATTTTAAACATTTCTTTAAAAAACTGGCTGACTAATTTCGTAGAGTAAATAGTAAATATTGTCATACTTCTTTTTATATAATTTGACAGAATCAAATGACTGATTACAAATGAAGCACACATCAAATATCTATATGTTTCATGTTTTATATCATACTCCTCATTGACTGATGTCTCATTGATAAATTCTGATTTAATTTTATTAGTGGTAAGTTTAAAATTGAAATGATAAAAAATTTAACTGAGAGGCAGTTATAATTTTTGAAAAATGTATGTTAATTTTAATCAAAAAATTCCAATTTAAATTTAAATCAAAATAACTGACTTGTAATTTGTGAAAAACTTATGTTAATTTAATCATAAAATGAAAACCAATATGATAACTGAGGAACAGTTGTAATTTGGGAAAAACTTATATGTTATAAAAAAAATACATTTAAAAAATCTAATCAATAATAATTAAAACAAGAATCTAATTAAAATGAATGGGACACATAACACCACAACTGAGAGAAAGCTGTAATTTGTGTAATAATGTAATTTCTCCCTCTTTTTTTATACCATCGTAAAATGTAATAATTCATATTTTTATGATGGATTTTCATATTTAAAGCCTGAAAACCTGGATCCAGGATGTTAAACAATAAAATCTACACATAAAAATCACTTGAAAATATATTTTTTTTAAATTATATAAAAAAAATTATGTTTACAAAACTGTTATGTGACCTTCATATAACAAAAGGAAAAAATATATATTTGCTAGTTTTAATTAAAAGTAACCCCTGGCACATAAAAGTTCCCTTTGTTAAAGAAACACCCACATATAGGCGAGAAAATAAAAACAAGCATATGATAATAGAACAGCACCGATGAAAGTGAGATTGGAAGGAAAGAAATAAAAAGACCTGAGATGAGATGGAAGGTCTGAGGACAGAGAGGGAGAGAGGAATGAAAGTCCTGATGGAGCGGGGCATGAGAGAAACAGAGATGGGGTGAGCAAAAGAAGGGCAGCTTCAGAGAGGGATATCCACCCTCAGGGCCCGATGCAACCCATGTTCTTCAAAGGCAACCCCGCACACGCACACAAGCGGTGGGGCCACAGAGATGGGACTGATATACTGTTTACTGTAGTTCACCTACCCCCAGGCTCGAAGGGATCTCACAACCACATCACACACTCACAGAGACCACCAATCATGCAAGTTCAGTAACATACACACACATTCATGCTCTCTTTTTCTCTGCTTCTTTCATATATATAGACATGCCGTTACACAGTTGCTCATGCGCACAGTGAACATGCCCATAAATAAAAGTGCCATGGGCAAAAAGACTCAAGATCAAGATCAAACTCCTGCTTGACACTTTTACCTTGATAGTCCGATTAGGATTATAAAATGAATACTGAGTGCCACAGGAACCTGAGCCCATAGCACACAGATGACAACATGAAAAATGTATATATATATATATATAAACACCTAAACACCCAGACGCATTACTACATAAAAAAATAGACAGAAAAATGCTTAACTGTCAAAAAATGAAAAATTAAATTAAAAAAAATATTATTATTATTATTATTATTATATTATTTATTACTTATGAGGTGACATCACTTGGACATGTTTTCTAGAGATTTCCCCACAGGTCTGAATATGTGATTGTGTACATTGAAGTGTCACTCTGTCCCCTTGTGGATACACTGAGAATTGCTTTGAATGAAAAATAATAATAATAAAACTATGAGATGTTTTAATATACATTTTCAACAAATATATTATTCATTTATTTTTAACATTTTTAAAATATTATGAATTATCCATTTTATTGATTTATTGCTCAAAGATTAAAAAAAAAAAAACTGAGTGGATCGATCCAAATGTTGTGATATATACAAAAGAGTGTATGAACGTTTCATATCCCACACTCGGGCACTTACAATTACAATGGTATTCTGATTATAGGAGTGCATGAGGAGCTCATAAAGTGTGCGTTTGCCTTAGCATTTTAATAAAACACTCCTTACACATCCAGCATTAGCACGTGCGTGTGCGCGTGTGTGTGTGTGTGTGTGTGCGCGCGTGTGTGTGTGTGTGTGTGTGTGTGTGTGACTGATAATTAGACCTGCTGAGCCACCGAACAGCTTTGTATTCTGACACATTCATTAGAGAAACCCATACTGGAGTGAAAATGGATACACACAAAAGCTGACTACGCACTTTACACACATACATAAACTGCTGTCAACAGTCATGACATATTAAATCATCCTGTTACTGTCACACTGTTCATCCTGTTCATCCTGCACAACACCTCTAATTGCCCTAAACACACGCAAATGCACCTGTGTTTGCTCATTGGTGAATGTGTCTATGTGTGTGTGTGGTATTTATCAGTGTATTAACAGAAGGACTCTTCAGCAGAACAGACCGAGTTGATCATTACGTGGAGTGGGACGGTCTGCGTAGAAAGGTCTGTCAGGAGATTGCTTTGATTTGCATTTGGCTTAACCTTAATCACAAACACAAAGCCACGCGCACAACCGCGCTTCATTGACATGCACCAGCTCAAAGCCACCTCTGACTAAGATAAAGAACTGTGCCCTGCATTTAATGCCGACATCTCCTGCCCGGATCCCACAACAGAAGCATTAAATATAAACACGCATGCAGGTGAGGTGACACATTGCGGCACACATCCCGAGGTGGAATACTTGGCCCATTTTCCTGTTGAAAATAAAGCACAGCCCTAACTGTACGTTACCTGCTAGACGGAGTCATTGAAATTGACGAGTGAATTGTGAACTGAATTTCCGAGTCTCTCAAAAATGGGGTGCACCAAAATGAAACTCCAATATTACATGCCTGGCTGGCCGATGATAATAAACCCCTTTTTGACTTCTTGACGTATCAGTCTTGCAATAACATGAAAAACTAATTGAGGAAAGAACTATTGGTTTGTTGATAACTGCTTGTTTACCTATTACTAATGTGACAAAAAAAAATTGGAAGGAAAAAGACATTAAGGTGATATTAAGGTGAAAACGTATTTAAATAACTCTGTTTGGGATGTTAAACTGGCAGTTCAAGACAGTATTTTGTATAGAATTTTTTATATTTAATTATATTATATTATATTATTATATATATATTATATTATATTATATATATATATATATATATAGCATATTTAATTTTATGCATATGAAATCTAGGCTGTAAAAACAGCCTGTTCAATGATTTGTACTGTCTTGAAAGGGAAAGTTCAACCAAAAATTTAAATTATGTCATTATTTCCTCACCCTTATGTTGTTCCTAACCTATATGACTAGGGCTGTCACGATTATGCGATTAATTGTCTGTTTTAGGGCTTTCATTATATAATTGATTAATTTAAGGGTTCAGTAAATAATTATGATGTTATCTTCCCTTATTTTCCTGCACGCACCTATTCCTACTCTCACAGCCCGTGCGTGGCCGTTAAAGAAACAGAACCGAAATTATACATCAGAAACATAAGAAATAATATTGAAACATATACATAGGAAATATCAAAATTGCCTCTCAAAGAAAGTTACAGAAGTTATACTTTAGGTCATTACTTGCAAATCAACACTCTAAGCAAACAGTTATTATATACAAATTATTGACATATAAAATTGGCTCTTACAACTATGTTGAACAATACATGACTATATGAACAAACAAAAAACACTGAGACATTGCTCAAAATATCTTTTTTATGTTCCACAGAAGAAAGAAAGTCATACAGTTTTGGAACGACACAGAATTTCCATTTTTAGGTGAACTTTTTTTTTTTAAGTTATTTTTATGGGCTTTTTACGCCTTCTTTATTTAGATACGACAGTAGAGAGACGACAGGAAAGCACTGGGAGGAGAGTGGGGAGCGGGAGCGGCAAAGGACCTCGAGACAGGAATCGAGGGCTTTTTACGCCTTCTTTATTTAGATACGACAGTAGAGAGACGACAGTAGAGAGACGACAGGAAAGCACTGGGAGGAGAGTGGGAAGCGGGAGCGGCAAAGGACCTCGAGACAGGAATCGAACTCGGGTCGCAGTGAGCGCGGTTGCACTATGTGTCGACGCACTAACCACGAGGCGCTGACCATTTTTGGGTGAACTCTTAAGGTCTTATGTCACATGTCTCACTAGCCTCTACTTCAGCATGCGCACTATTTTTGGTGTGAGCTCAACAACTAGCATGTTATTAAACAAGAGTACAATCCATAGAAGACGCCGTACTTGCATCCCTAACTTGTCTTGTTTTCATTCCTGTCAAAAAATAAATATGGCGCTATCCTGACTAAAGGTGCAGTCACAATAGCAACATTTTAGCAACTAAGGTCTTATTTCACATGTCTCACTAGCCTCTACTTCAGCATGCGCACAATTTTTGGTGTGAGCTGAACAACTAGTATGTTATTAAACAAGAGTACAATCCATAGAAGACACCGTACTTGCATCCCTAACTTGTCTTGTTTTCATTCCTGTCAAAAAATAAATATGGCGCTCTCCTGACTAAAGGTGCAGTCACAATAGCAACATTTTAGCGACACCTTATGGGTAAAGGGGGTCCATTGTCTATTGGAATGTTCATTCAGAATTATCTGGTCTTTATGTTCTCAAAACATTTTAAGAACTGGACATTTTGAATGTTTGAAGAACATTCCAAAATAACAATTTCATAAC